TGAGTTGTCTCGCCCACGCAAGGATGCTGCGCGCGGTGTGCACCGACACAGGCGACATGCGCAATAGGCACTGGTGCATACACAGGCACAAGCACAAAAAAGTACATGCCTGTGGGATTTGAAATCCTAAAATGTTCCCTCTCCCCTCCCCTCCCTCTCCACTTTTTTCCCTCTCCCCCTCCCTCTTTTCTCTCTCCACTTTTTTCCCTCTCCCCCTCCCCTTTTCTCTCTCCACTTTTCCTCTCCCCTCCCCTTTTCTCTCTCCCCTCTCCCCTCCCCTTTTCCTCTCTCCACTTTTTCCTTCTCCCTCCCCTTTTTCTCTCTCCACTTTTTCCTTCTCCCTCCCCTTTTCTCTCTCCATTTTTTCCCTCTCATTCTCCCCTTTCTCTCCACTTTTTCCCTCTCCCTCTTTATTTTGCTTTCCTCTTTTTTTCTCCCTCTTTATTTTGCTTTCCTCTCTTCCTTTCACGCCCGCACATTTCTTACCCATTCCCTATCTTGTCTTCTTTCCGCAGGACTTCCGGCTTGGTAGACGGCGTAAACATGACCTCGCATGAAGTGCTGACCCTCTCGGAAAACCAGGTCATGCAGGGGTCCCTCTCCATCTTGGGTGGAAGTGAAGGTACTGTGGGCTGTTTGGCATGCATGGTGTATGGTGGTGCTAGGTTGTGGCTGCCCGTTCTCTTTTTGTTCTTATTCTTTTTCATTTGCCAGTGTGTTTGTGATAGTATTATTCGTTATTTTTTTTTTATTCGTGGGCATTTTCTTTGTGTTAAACTTTCACTTTGTCTTCAAATTTGAATTTATTTACTGTACATTTTTGTTCGGTTTGTTCGTCCATGTAGTTTATGTATTATGTAAGTTCATAGTGCACGGTGCATTTTGCAATATGGACTAATGTACGGAACAAAATATTGGAAACCATTCCATTTTCCCCCTTTTCTTATTTTATTTCAGATATTGCACTTACGGTCGAAAGTCTTACTTCTGACGACGGCCACTTCAACTCCATGAATCTGACAGATTTGTGGAACACAGCTGTGAGTGTAACCAATTTTTCGGAATATTGTATCGGAAAATCTTTATAATTTTGGACCATTCTGTTATCGCCCCCACCCCCGCCCCCCGCCCTCTCCCCCGAAAGAAGGTTAAAGGAAATGTACTAAATGTTTCATTCTTGATGTGGAAAGGTTATTCTGTGTAGGAATAGTTATAATGTTTAATGGCACTTCATGCAATCATCAGTGTGGCGTGCTTGGGTGTTTTGTACATTTCCATTTTTTATCCATGGTCTTGAAATGATTCACTTTGTGTGTTCATATGTATATAGTATTCGCATCCCTTCCCTCCTACTGTCGCACTCTCGCCACCTAACCCTCCCTCCTGTCTGCCTGTCTGCCTGCCTGCCTGTCTGTGTCTGTCTGTGTCTGTCTGTCTGCCTGCCTGCCTGCCTCTGTCTGCCTGCCTGCTGCCTCTGCCTGCCTGTTCTGCCTGCCTGCCTGCCTCTGTCTGCCTGCCTGCCTGCCTTCTGTCTGCCCTGCCTGCCTGCCTCTGTCTGTCTCCTGCCTGCCTCTGTCTGTCTGCCTGCCTCTCTGTCTGTCTGTCTGTCTGTCTGTCTGTCTGTCTGTCTGTCTGCTGTCTGTCTCTGTCTGTGTCTGTGTCTGTGTCTCAGTAATCCGCCTCCTGTTTTCTTTCTTTCCTTCCTTCCGTCTTTCCTTTCTTTCCTTCCTACTTATGTCTTCCCTTTGCTTACGACTCCCCTCCTCGTCCTCGTTCTGCCCCCCTTTCACGCCTTCCCTCTGCCCCTCCGTAGGTCCGGCTTGACCGAGAGAATGTCGTGAGCGGCCAGGTCCATTTCCAGGGCGAGGTGACCTTCCAAGATCTTAGCCTTCACAAAACCCTCGATGGCGTCTTGGACCTGATAGCTTCTCCTCCAGACGTGTCGGAACTCGCCCTGCCTTATGAATACACCTACAATATATCACGCATCAACCACCATGTTCTGGAAGGTGCGTTAGGGTCGAGAGAGACGTGAATGTGTGCTGGGTTTAGGACCTTGTTGGCAGAATGCCGTAGATATTTTTTACACTTGTATTTATTTTTTTATTAGATATTTGATTATCTAAATTTCCTAGAATTCCTGAAGAGCATTTGTGAGTAATTACTCAATTAAAGTTATTCCAACCCCCGTCCCTTTTTAATATGACCCGATCATTTGCAAATTTTTAAGCAGCTCACATCTGTTTCCAATTCCCCCGCTTTCATATTCACCTGCATTTCTCCCCATTCAATGGCATCACAGGCCAAGCAAAGGAATTCTGGGGATGGCGGCGAGTGCAGGAGTTTCATGAGCCCTTGGTGAGACTGGCGCCCCTCGTCATGGACCCCCTCCTGCAAGGGCGGCCCTCGAGCAACACCACAGAATACCTCGCTCTTATAACGTCCTTGGGCAGCACCAAGGTCTTCAAGCTCCTCGAAGATGGTCGCTATGAGGATACAAGTGAGTAGATGAAGTTGGGATTTTAGTGCTTAGTTTGCAAGTGCATTAATGTTTTTTTTTCTGGCCAGTTCTACAAGTTGATTGTTCGGAAAGAAAATCCATTTTAATTTACAATAATTTTATTTTTATATATTTCAAACATTAAGGACGTCCATCTTTGTTTTTTTGAACATTGTAGGGAACCTCTGCTGAAGAAGAGGCGAACTTATAACGATGGTAGCATGGTCAGAAAAAATGTTTCTGCTTGTACGTTTATTTACTAATTACAAGCACATTACAGCACAATAGCAAATGTAATACAGTACAATTTCTACGGTATCTCAGCGATTACTTTATCACATGACCAATCTTGACCTCTGTGCGTCTTCCTTTTCTGCACTGCCCACCTGACTGAGGGTGAGGACTAGCCTTCATAGTTGGGAGCATCGGCTACCTGCTCCAGGTACTTAGATGATTGAACACCTGCAGGACTGACTTGCGTTGATCCCCTGAGGCCTCTTGTCTAAGAGGGCTATCAATTACCTGTCATTAATCCCATTTAAAAGGTCGAGTAGAGGTCAACCAGGTGGCCTTCACAAGACATTTCTAGTCTTCCCTCGGGCGGTAAACTGGAAAGGCTAAAGAGACCTCCCTGAAGGTATCACACCTATCACACATTTCCAGTAATATTACTGCAGAAAAAAATACAATCATGTACAGCTTTGGCCTTCAGTAGGCTCTTTTATCATTCATAGTTCGCATTGCTACATATCACAAATACGTTTTCATTTCGTCGTTGCGCGCTTCTTAACCCATTTGCTTCATAATTTTTCGCTCCGCGCCGAGCCGCCGCGCCGCGGAATATTTTCCCGCCGCACGAGCCCTCGCGCCGGGATTTTGATAATCACACCAATGTAGTAATCTAACCACTGATCTTCGTTTATGTTTTATATATAAGTGATGAGAGAGGTTGCACTTTTCCTCATGCTATATTCTACACATCTTTTCGTATTTCTATTGAAGTTGGATACTGAAGCTGTTCATAAATGTTCATATTAGCCAATGAGATGAACTATTTGACACTAGAAAATAATACATTCCTTTTATGGGAGGTCAAAGTAGAGCTGTTTTTTTCATTTCAACCAAAGTCGCAAATGGATGAAAATAAGTGACAACAGCAGTCCTAAAGCCGTTTTCGATGCTCATTCAGCCTGTACTTTCGTACAACACTCAGAAAAAGAAGGAAAATTGATTTTTTTTCTGAAGTACAAAAGTACCTTCACTTTCTGAGAGGTCAAATTGTGTTGTTTGTTTCTTTTGAAAGAATGAATTGCATTGTTTTTACTTGAGGTGAAACTATGGACTTTTTTATTGCAAAAAGAACAAGAAAGACGTACCATCACCATTTTACTATTATGTAACTCAGATTATATATTACAATCTTCTCTGCGTATGGAACGTTTCAAAACAACCAATACGTGCAGAGTGACACCTGACACTCGGGACACAGTGCGTGTCATCTTAGGCCTCCCGGCATGGTAGCACAAGAAACACCTGCGGTAGCGCCGGCCTGGTGTCTCCCGAACGACATGCCTTGTCCTATCCTGCAGCTGCGAAGGCGAAGGTAGAACCGAGGGCCTTCCACAAGCGCTGTATGGTTCTACATCTGGAAGATATTCATCAATGATGGCATTGCCGAGGTCAAGTCTGAAGTCCACTTGATGCCTCAGTGGCCCAGGTACTTATAGATGGCATGTGCGTTGACTGCGGCTAGATCAAACAGGTAGAAAAATACCGTTTTGTACCATTTGAGTGATCGGCGTACTGTCGGGTAGGAGCTGGCCAACTGGTCCCCCAGATCCACACCTTTCATGCCAGCATTGTAGTCAGCAATGCATTGGGGTTTGCTGACCTGGGGTACCCATCTTCTGTCCACCAACGCCATGGCTGAGGTATGGACACTTATTTTGTGTCCATCCACGTCATGGCGAGCATACCGGTTCTGGAACTCTGGAAGTCGACCTCTCCTTTCCTTTTCACCTTCAGTAAACTGTGAAACCCTTCCAACAGTAATTCCCCCCTCTCCTTGAGGTCCATTACCGCCTTCTGTGAAGACGGGATGGACCCCTTATCTTTACCAATATAGATCTTAGACTGATGTATACCCAGCACACGGGCCATCACTGGCTAAAAGTTTGTAAACTTTGACCCCAAATCTGGCCTGCTTGTTGGGGTTGTATGTGGAGAAGCAGAGCCGTCCGTGAAATTTCCAAAGCGACTCATCGATGGAAATGTTCTGGTTTGGCACGAACAACGACCTGAGCCACTCCCCGAACAAATCTATCTCCCTCCAGATCTTCCAGAGCCTGTCATATACTGGATGATTCTCCTTATTGTACACAAAATGCAGGTAGCAGTGCAGCTCCAGTAGTGTCACGGGCTGCCACCATCGGCCGTGGGTTCTTTAACTCTCGTTCTGCTCCACAAACCTGTAAGACAGCAAATGGAATAAATTAGAATAAAAACGGTGACCACTGTAGCTACATAATCTGAGTATAGCAATACTGTGTAGATATGTTGTATCAACTCTTACATACCTATTGGTCTCCTCCACTGCATGAGCAAGGAGTTCGTCTGTAATGAACTCCTTAAAAACTTCTGTGGAGCCTCTGGGCTGAAGGTCGAGCTACATGAGTCGACACCACTAGAAGGAATGTTTCCGTGGTACTTTTTCCCGGCTTCTCCACTTGAAGGCAGCGGTCTCCGGGGCATTACTGTTCCAATGCTTTTGATACATGGACATGAAGTGGCTTGTCATTGTCAAATGTGCTGTCTAGTGACACAAAATCGAGCTCAGGGATTTCTTCGTCCCCATCGGAAGACTCCGAGTCTGAAATCTCAGCAGGAGCTGAAGTCGATAGCTGCGGTTCCTGTTGGGAGAGGGAGAGAGAGCGAGACGAGAAATGGAGGTAGAGTTGCGACCTCTCATGGCTGCGATCGTTCTACTTGAATGAGCCTTTGACTGACCTTTTATGCAGATGACTAACCAATCATGTCACACTGTTATGTAATACTCCAATGAAAGCCAATGCTTCTTCCCAGACAGTCAGGTCAAAGTATGTCACATCCACATAATCTCATACCAACAAATCAACAACTAATTCGTCATTAATTATTTGTAATAATTACATGCATCATTAATTATGTACATCACCTAATTATCAACCAATCATGTAAATCATCGGCAGCGACAGCTATTGAGTCGATTACATAAGAGATAGCCAGTCTGTAGTCAGACTTCATGGCAAGACCACATGCCATACAGGCTGTGATAGGCCATTTGATTTGTAGCCAATCAGTTAAAATGATCAGTAGTGACATCTACCGAATAAAAAAATGACAGTCAGTCTGTAATCATCACAATAGAGGTACCCCCAGTCAGACAGGCAGAATTGTAGTTGTGTAATAGTAAATATCATACACTGTCATAAACAAAGGATTATGAAAACCAAAGGTTTTTTTTATGCTAAAATTTACAAATGTCCCAAAAGTTGACATCAACAGCCTGGGATATTTCATCCACAGGCGGTAGATTTTCCATGGTTTGGCTCAGACCCTTGTTCTAAAATGACAGGGAAAGCTTCCTAGGCTTAATCCTCTTCAATGGAGGAGGACGCGAGGCCCTAGGTGTCTGCTGCGATGCTAGGTCATACATCGGCGAGGGCATGTACACACGCCCCGACAAAACCACCGCCTGTGATGTTGCAAGGGACGCCTCGCTGCCCCACTAGGTGGTGGACGCCAGAGGAGACCCCTGACTGTATTGAGGCATTGGTGACGCCCTCGGACCGACAAACGACCCAACCCCCGGGCGGACCGACGATCGAACGAACAGGGAGGCATGCCGTGCCGGGCTCTCTTCACGAGAACGCTTCCTCGGTGGTGGTGGCTGCTTATCTCAACGTTCTTGGCAGGGGTTTGGGAACACACGTCTTCCGCGGGCGAGGGGAGCGAGTGCCCAGGGATTGAGGGTTCGTTCACGACAATCGGAGGCGAGGGGGGCCGGTTCCCGGATATCACCTGCACACCTGGTTCGTTCACGACAATCGGAGGCGAGGGGGCCGGGTTCCCGGATATCACCTGCACACCTGGTTCGTTCACGACAATCGGAGGCGAGGGGGCCGGGTTCCCCGGATATCACCTGCACACCTGGTTCGTTCACGACAATCGGAGGCGAGGGGGCCGGGTTCCCGATATCACCTGCACACCTGGTTCGTTCACGACAATCGGAGGCGGGGCCGGGTTTCCCGGATATCACCTGCACACCTGGTTCGTTCACGACAATCGGAGGCGAGGGGGCCGGTTCCCGGATATCACCTGCACACCTGGTTCGTTCACGACAATCGGAGGCGAGGGGGCCGGGTTCCCGATATCACCTGCACACCTGGTTCGTTCACGACAATCGGAGGCGACCTACCTGGTTCGTTATCGAGGCGAGGGGGCCGGGTTCCCGGATATCACCTGCACACCTGGTTCGTTCACGACAATCGAGGCGAGGGGGCCGGGTTCCCGGATATCACCTGCACACCTGGTTCGTTCACGACAATCGGAGGCGAGGGGGCCGGGTTCCCGGATATCACCTGCACACCTGGTTCGTTCACGACAATCGGAGCGAGGGGGCCGGGTTCCGGATATCACCTGCACACCTGGTTCGTTCACGACAATCGGAGGCGAGGGGCCGGGTTCCCGGATATCACCTGCACACCTGGTTCGTTCACGACAATCGGAGGCGAGGGGGCCGGGGTTCCCGGATATCACCTGCACACCTGGTTCGTTCACGACAATCGGAGCGAGGGGGCCGGGTTCCCGATATCACCTGCACACCTGGGTTCACGATCGGAGGCGAGGGGGCCGGGTTCCCGGATTCACCTGCACACCTGGTTCGTTCACGACAATTCCCGGTCATCGGACAAGAGCGAGGGGCCGGGTTCCCGGATATCACCTGCACACCCGGCTCGTCG